CTTATATTCAAGCTATAATTCTTTCTTAGCTTTTTTAGCTTTCTTAAATATAAAATAATTAAATCTGGTTCTATATTTCAATTCTTAACTAACTCTCTTATATTTACTTGAATTTAAATAAGGTATAAGAGGCAGAGAATAAGCTATACTCTTTTAAATAAGGTACTAATTTGCTTTATACTTTTATTACTAAGTTTAAATATATATTTTATAAAATATAAAAATAAGACTAGAATAATATTAATAATATTATAGCTTTCTATTAAGAACTTAATACTATAATTAAGAATAAACTAACTTAATTATTAAATCTCTCTCAAATCTATATTAAGTTTATTGAAATAATATAATAACTAGCTAAATAATCTAGTATATATAAATATTATAATCCTAAAAAGAAGCCTTATTACTTAAATAAAAATAAAACTATAGATATATTAATTATTAATATTATTAATATAATTATTAAGCTTCTATAATTCTTTTTCTTCTCTTTTTTTTCTATAAATAGTCGAGTATAATTTATATTTCTAATAAAATACTAGCTATATTAAAAATAAAGCAAATATATATATATTATAGAAGTAATAAATACTAAATAAAGAACTATAATATTTAATTATATAAAAAGATACCAAAGCTAGAACTAAAGATTATAATTTTCCTAATAAATTATAGTAATAATAACTATAATTCTAATTTAGCTCTTTTAATTAAATCTTATAGCCCCGATTCTAATTCAAATTCTAATTTAAAAAAACTAGTATATTAAATACTAATAAAATATATAAATATATAAATAGGAAATATAGAAATTAGGATATATAAAACTATATAATTTATATAAACTATAAAAAGCTTATTTTTAATACTTAGAAATAAGCTTTTCTAAAAGAGAAAATAATATTATATTTAGTTATTTTATTAGTAAATTTAGTATTATATAACTATAATAATATATATAGCTATTCTAGTATTTAAAATACTAAGCTTCTATATTTAAGAGCTTCTTTTCTTAGTTTAGAATCCTCGAATTAAGAGTTACTTTATCTTGCTTTTTAAGTCCAGAAACCCGGTTTTATAATTATATATTTGGCTTAATTTATTAACTTATTTATTATTTAGTTTATATATAAAAATTATAAAAATTAGTATATTTTTATTTAATTTTACTAAAATTAGTAAAATATTCTAGAAGTATTTCTATTATTTATATATTATAGAAGCTAATTATTATTATAAGAATATATTATATTAAGAAAGCTTTTTTATAAAAATCGATACTTTATAAATATCATAAAAAAAGAAATTTCTAAGAACTTTATAATATATATAATAAGATTCTAAATAAAATATAAAAAGAAATAATTCAATAATATTATTATAAGTAATAAAAGGCTAATTTAAAAGCTATAAGTACTTCTTTAAATTTAATAATATATCTAATATAATTAGACTAAATTTCTTTTAAAACTACTTTTTTTTAGCTAGTTAATTTAGTATTTAAATACGAAATTACAAGATACTTTATATAATTAAAATAAAGCTAATTATATATATATAACTCGAGTTTTATATAAAAGAAAATATTAAAATATTTTAAATATAAATAAATTAAAAGCTTATATTAGTTATTTTATTAATAAATATATAATTATATTTATAAAAATAAAAGAATTACAAATTAGTTATAATAAATAAAACTATTTATTTAAATAAATATAAACCTAATTAATATAAAGTATATTAAGTATATTTTTACTAAATTTATAAATAATAATATAACTATAAAATATTTTAATTATTTAGTTAAGTATTTAAAAGCTAGTTTAAATAAGTTCTAAAAAATATTTCTTTTTATATTTATAAATTCTTTTAATTAAAGGCTAGTAAATATAATATTAGGCTTTTCTAATTTCTTTTTTATTTAATATATATTCTTTAATTATTTAATATTAGTATATTTTATTTCTAAAAGTATTATTATTAAATAATAATTTATATAGTTTTTTAATTTCTTGATTTTAAATTTATAACTATTTTCTTTTTTCATAATCTTATTTTTATTTATATATAAATAATATAAAAGTATATAATTAAGAATTCCTTTAAAAGTTCTAGTATATAGCTTATTAATTATAAAGCTAAAATTGAAAAATATATAATTATATACTTATAAATTATATACTTATAAATTATATACTTATAAATTATATACTTGTAAAATATATACTTATAAATTATATACTTATAAATTATAATTTTATAAATTTTTTAAATAATTTAAGAAAAACTTAAAAGGTTATTATTAAAAGAATTATCTCTAAATAATAAAGTACTAGACTCTTTAAATAAAGCTTTATAAGAAATATAATTAAAAAGCAAAGTCTTATAAAAGCTTATATTAAAAGAGCTTATTTATAAATATAATAAAGCTTTATATTAAAATTAAAGAAAAGAAGAAAAAGAATAATAAAGAAACTTTTTATAAAATTAAAAAGATACTTATTATTAATATTTAAGCTTATAAGAATATAGTACTAATTCGCGAATTTAATAAAAACCTTATAATAATTAAATAAGCTTATTATAAAAAGAACTTTTATCCTAATTTATAACTTGTAATTTACTAGTTTATAATATTTCTTTATAATTTAGCCTTTAATTAGAGAGAAATACTAAATACCTTTATTAATAAAAATAAATATATTAATAAAAAAATAATATATAAACTTTAAACTACTTTCTTTTATTTACTAAAACTTATTAAATACTAAAAGTAATATAAAGGCAAATACCGATTTTATATAATTCTAGAAAGCTTAAATTTTTAATTTTATTATAAATATATTTAATATTAAAAATTAAGTACTAAATAAATCTCGGTAAAATACTTAATTAAATAAAATACTTGCCTTTTTCGATTATAAATAAAATATAATAAAAAGAGAACCGGCTATTAATTAAGTGTTTTTTAAATAATAATATATATATAAATTATAATTATAATTTAAAAAATCGAAAATAAATTTAATATATATATTTAATTTAATTAAAATAAATATACTTTAAATTATAAATAGAGTAAATATAAAAGAATTAAACTTAAGGCTAAAAGAAAAAGAATATAATAAAATTATAATTAATTAATTTTAGCTTAATATTATTATATAAAGATTTAATTTATTAAATTCTAATAATAAAATACTTATAATATAAAGTAAGAGTAAATAAAAAATTATAAGAATAATAAATAATAATAAATAAATTAAAATAAATATAAACTAAAAATATATTAATTAGTTATAAAAGAATAAATAAGGAAATTAAATAAAAGCTTTATTTTAAAATATTAAGTTATTTAAGAAATAAGAGGCTAATTATTATTAAAATAAAATTCGAGGTTATAAAAATAACTAATAAATATTTATATATTAAGAAATTTTAATTATATAAGAATTTTTATTATTTATTATATTATAATACAAATATAAAAAAGTTATAGTCCTTATTTATAAATTTCTTAATCTTATTATTAAGATTTCTTATTTATTCTATATAAAAATATAATAAAAACTAAGAAAACCGGGTTGTTTTATTTAAAAAATATATATATATAAAGAATTAAAAACTTATATTTTAAGAATTTTAAAAGTAATTATTATATTAAAGTACTTTTATAAAAAACTTATAATATAATAGTTTCTAATATAAGAAATAATTAAATTAAATTAATAAATTAAATTTAATTATTAATTATTAATTAAGCTAGTTATAAATATTTATAATTACTTTAATTAATATATATATATATATATATGTCACGATAAGGTGATATTGCAGTAGTGGTAAAGAGCTTGAATTGAGCTAAAGGCTGTGTGCCGGGCTAAAAGCACTGGCTACACGCTAAGTCACGTGCAGTGGCACCACGTGACTGGTGCCACGTAACAATATATATTTGTAATATATAATAAGCTAACCTAATTAAATAAAAATCTAGCTCTAGTATTATCTTATTTTTAAGGAAAAAAGCTTACTAAAGTAATACTAAAGCAAGAATCTTACTTAATTAGACTAGTTTATTATTTAATATAATTAATTTTTTTAGAGACTACTAGTCTTGCTTTAAGAGAAATTAAGATAATATTTATATTTACTAATAATACATTAAATTACAAAAGCTTATTAGGCTAATATTATAAAGGAATTATCTTTATAAAGCTTCAAGCACGCTTATCCGTGAGATATTCCTTATTAACTTTTAAAGCCATACTAATTCTGGTTTTTATATCTACTTACTACTTATATTTAGGATTGCTTCTTATTTTATATAAGGAAGCAAGTATTCTTGGGAGTGTAATTGTCTAGGGTTTTCTAGGGGGTTAGAGACCCTTAGTTATATTAACGACTAATGGAATACAAATCAAGGACAAATAGATATTTATTATAATAGAAAGACAGAACATCAAATGCAGAGTAGCTAGTGAAAAGCGCTCATGCCACATGACCGTACACTCAACAGGGTTTGCTAGGCTGCAATGCATAGGCCACAATATTGGAGTTTCACCGCAAGTCTGCAGCTCCGCGCTTCATCAAAGCAATTCTTGTTGAGCATAATTTCTTCTTTGTTGGATTAATATAGTGGGGCTTGTGCCAATATTCTCTGACACCTGCCAGCTTGCTAAGCTTGTTCAGGATATCTTATCGCTATATAGACAATTCTATATATAGTTAAAGCTCATAAATCCTCTACCTCTACCCCCCTTTCTAATATTGAAAGATTAAATGAGATTAATATTTGACTCTTGGAAAATAGCAAATTTGACACTCTACCCATGCAACCTATTGAGACAATATGCGCCTGCTTATGTACCACGAATATGACGATGAAGCTTGAAAACTGCATAGAGAATTGTTAAGCCATCTGATTGTGAACATAGCTTTAATCAAGAGATGGGTTAGCTGACCAATTTGTCAATGGGTGGAGAGATCTTACTCGCCTCTGAATATGAAGGTCATACTGCGAGATTGATAGACGACCTTGGCTTACCGCCCGTTTTACAGACCATTCGCAGGAATTTTTCGATCGACTGCTCTCAGCTACGATCAGCGCTATTAATGTCCGTCGTTAGGACCAGATCACGTCTGCGGATACTCCTTTTGGGATTTGCCATCCTAACCCACGCGGAGAATTGAGTAAAGGTAGATCAATAGAAAGCGATATCTCAATCCGACCAGCGTAAAATAAAGCCCCTTAGCAAACTGAAGCCCAAGCCTTAATTTTCTGTACTATGCTGTTCCGTTCCGTCCTCGCTATCCTATGCACCAGGTTCCTATCTCAAAATACTCACCAAAACAATGGACTTCTATTTGATCTCTCTCTTGTCCAGACCTTGGGATTGCTCTTTCTATCAGAGCAACATGATGAGCGAAGTTGCATTCCTCTTCTTTCCCATACATCTCCACCAATGCTCCCTCCTCCGAAATCAGAATTGCTAAGTTGTCAATGGCTCCGCTTTTCACGAGACTAGCCCACGATAACCCCTGGGTGTTGAAATCCGAACCGATGATTTTTCGAAATCTCACTCGCAGCCAACCTCGTCTCCAAGGTCTGAGATTGTCGCTAGCTTCGTCGTGGGTATGTATCACGAGAGTAGTATTGGCAAATCTAGTCTCATCGTCATCGCAAGTGGTCGTCATATTCAGAGCCTCATGGTCGTGAGATAACTGACTAAGTTTGAAACCTGGAAGCTGGACAGTAAGACCTCTGTTCGTCACGATGCCACGTTTGAAACAGTCCCTAGGCTCGAATATCTTGAACTCTAAGTCTTTATACAGAATCGATCGAGGTGCCCATTTCCACCCATCGGATTGAAGTCGTGGAGAATTCCAGAAAATAATTGTCGTGGGGACTTCGACCATTTGTCGATACAACAGCTTCGTTCGCTCCTCGTGACACGATCCAATCCACTTCTGAATATCTACACCGAACATGCTGAGAACAAAGCGAATGCATTTCCAAGAGTCTAACTTAATCAGGAAGTCTTTCTGTCCCCATGGTATGGGTTTAATTGCCAAGAGGTCTTTCATTTCTGTTTGTAGCAGCAGGCCCAAGCAAATAGTCTCGTCCTCTGTTCTACTAGTCGTCCTCCCTTGAAAACCTTTGCAAACGTCGAGAAATAATTCACACGGGCGGTAACCCTGGACATACCCCGTAGAATTGGTTTTGCTCCGCGCGTTAGCAAGGTGGGCGTAGCCCCAGCCACGGATTCTATTGATTGCAGCCACACTATGACCGGCTACAGGACTCGGAAAGTACACAAAGATTCGATTTCGGAGATCTTCATCTGCAGAGGTCTCTTTTGCGTCTGGCTCTACTTCTCTTAGCCAAGGTAACCATGTCGTTTTCAATTTTTCTAAAGGTGCATTCCGTTTTATGGTTTGGACTGCATGTTGATGAAGCTCTTCCTCGTCAGTGTCTTCGAAAGAGCTCTTCATCGACATTTCGATCATATCTTCGGGAGCTTGGTACGTTGCCACCGCTGCAATCAGACGTCTTGCCGAGGGATTCTCCATCAGATGATGCTTATCGCATTCACCTAAGAGGTTCGAAAGTAGTTGAAAATTGTCATTCAGCTCAGCCGATTTTTGCAGGTCGGTAAGGTTAACAGGTTTGTCCTTGAACTGGATGTAAGCTTCTCGGGCCAGTCTGCCTTCCTGCAACGTCCAAACCCGTGTTGACCATGGACAGTATCCAACACGCATATTCATCTCTACCCAAGAAATGTCGGCGCAACTCACTGCTTGCAAAGAGCTATCCAGAACGAGAACTTTGTCTGCTGATCTGTAGATGTCGGCCATTTGTGCTAGAGCTAGCTGCTTCACAGCGTTGAACGTCGAACTCTTGGGAATACAAAGAGTATCCATCCAAAATGGAACGGGAAAATCCGCTGAACCGTGAAGAGCATTGACTAGATTCTGGATATGTGTGAACATACACTCATTGAGCCAATTCCCTTCATTATTGCCCAGACCATCCGACCAGACATGACTTATAGCAACATAAGTGGCTCGTGAAGGTCCATTAAGCCCAGAGGCAAAAACTCTGAGCCCGGTTGCCTGATTTAGATCTGATGAGACGCTAGCGACGAGTGGAACTTGGCCGCTACTGATGATGGTTGCAATCTCATTTGGTGAGGGTCCAACTCTCCTATTGCAGGCACAATCGCCCAAATGCGCAGTTTTGTAAGTAGTAAAGTCGATCTGAAGTGCCTGGCATCCACCTTGCTCGGTACATGTCGAGTGCCCCTTCCCAAGAAGTTTTCGTCCAATCGTAGTGAGATAGAACAAACACGTCAAACCATTCCACTTTTTCAACATTGATATCTCCCCAACACACCAGTCCTTCTCTAAGGTTTTTTCGATTAATGGCAAATGCCATTTGAGTGTTGTGAGCTCAAGGGTTCCAGCTTCTTTGTATCTGATGATACCTTCGCGCACACTGCAGAGATATTCGCCGAGAGTCATGAGGGACAGGACTAGGGCATTCATTGCCGCGGCCCACACATCCTCGCCAGGCGTAACCTTCAGCGAAGTAGCAACAACATTTAGCACAGTGTTTGTAAGTCGCAGGCAGCTGTCGACGTCCCGTGCGTGGCGTACCACAACTTCCCTATCCTCATGGCATCTCATAGCCGTCCAGTACAGCGCGTATTTGTCGAGCATTTCCGTACACGCCATCCGGCGTCCTGACGCATCCGTTCTGATGAAGTCTTCATGTTTGTATTGAGTTGCAGGCCCACCGAATATCTCCGTTAAAAGACCAAAGAACAACCAGGACTGAAGCAAGTCACAGGGGAGAATCAGCTCGCTGGAACAAAGTTCTAGCTCCTCGAGATTGTACCCGAGGCTGCGAGGAAAGTCCTTGAAGCCTTGGAACCCGAGTGGTTCTTCCCGGTAGGCAATGGCAGAGTCGTAGATCGGAATTTCAACCACATATGAATGGTTATGTGTTTTCGGGATGTGGTCCATAATCGGCTCGATTGCATGGAGCGCGGAAACCAGCAAGCAGAGCTCTCAGATATGCGGTTGTGGAAGGCAGCCACGTAATCTTGTTTCTATTTCCTAATAGGCTCGCCTGCAAAGATTTTAGCGACGTGTCAACCCTAACATTCATGGTTGCCCTTTCAATCGTGCTCACACAAGCGAGACCAGCTAAAAGGAAATCCTGCATCAGGCCGCGAATGCTTCGTACGCAGGTCTGCCTGATATCTGCCCAACAAAAAGAACGGCATATAAGCAGTGTAGATGCTGCTATGAGCACCTTTCTTACCTGATGCCTTGCTACAGTACGATATTATAGTTTCTTTCTAGTTTGAATTGATCGAGATATCTATGAAGCTGTTAATATGGAACACCTGGTCTTTATCCCACAAGGACCGCAGGGCGTTGTAACGGCATCTAGAAATCTGACTCTGGCAACTGATTGGACCTACGAGTCGGACGTAATTCCATTCCAACCACCTCTAACACCATGGCTGGGATTTGATCATCAAAATGCCGCGACTTCTTTAGATTTGGAACTATATCCGAGACGACGCGGATGGAATTATCAAGAGATTTGGCAGGGAAATCTTCGAGAATCCCATGCCTCCTTGGCCAGTTTAGATGGACATTCGATCGCCAATCGAGTCGTCGCCATGCTCCAGAGCTGGTTTTACATAGGCCTCTTGGAATCCGTTATTGACAAGCCGGTATCTCCATCGTACGTTGTACGAACAGACAAAAGTGCAGTAGCATATTTATATAGCCGGAACCTTCATTTCTGCCTACAAGCTTGGATTTTCAAGATCAGACTCGAAAACGAGGTCCAAAAAGAGGCTATGAACTTAAGAATACTCAACTCTTTGGGACTCGTTAGCGATTGGATCAAGCGTATGAATATATATGCCGATCGTGACCAGAAATATTTCTACAGACACATGGAGGCTTCCTATCCAGGGTTTGGAAAGACGTTTACACCCATTGTACCTTCAATCATTCGTCTTGGAGAGGCAATAGACTGTGCGAGGCTGACAACATTTGGAAAGGTACCATCGGCTCTTTCATGGCATTATCCAGACTCTGAATTTTCGAGCCAAATTTCCATTCTCAAAGATCGTGGCTGGTGCCCCTACACATTGAGAATCCTGGGGTCAAGCGCTGGAGCATCTACAATTGACTGGTTAACGACGTTCAATGTTTGGGTAGGAAATGAGGGCAGGGAACACGAAAGATGCACCGAAAGTGTTTGTGAGCGGAATTACTTTGCGTGGGAGAAGTATAAGATAAAGCATCGCCAAGGATGTGATGGCCATGGTTGTCGGTTTCTAAAGCCTCCTTTAGAGAAGACCTTGGACATCTTGAAACGGGGATACATACCTGTCATTAACTTTCAGTACGATGGCACCATCTCTGTTTCGGCCCGATCGACACAGACGCAAGGAGACTATCTTGCTTTCTCCCATGTATGGGTGGACGGAATTGGGAGTACCACAGAAGAGGGGCTTCCTGCGTGCCAGTTTGCCTTCCTCCGTGATGTTGCTTGCGATGTAATGAATGTGCGCGACCCAGCTTTCTGGATCGACTCCCTCTGTGTACCCAGTCGAAGAAGTGCTCGGCGAAAGGCCATCATCGTGATGCATGCCACTTATTTCAACGCATCAGAAGTAGTGGTCTTGGACAAAACAATACAATTGCATAGCATAACTTCCCCTTCAGAGGTTACATTTTGCGCAATATTCACTTCGGGCTGGATGCAGCGGCTTTGGACTTTCCAAGAGGCTCTGCTTGCACAGCGGCTCATATTCAAGCTTTCTGACGGTCTTTACAAGTTAGATGCGCTTGAGATCATGAAATACGGACGTTCTTCGCTTCCTAGCAGTATCTGTCACGTATGGCGGGCATTGGGATCACAGTTGCTGCGTCTTCGAGGCACTGGCTCTACTACACGGAACATTGCAAGCGTGAGTAGAGATCTTGCTTGGCGTTGTACAGCTAGGTACACGGATGAGACCCTGGCGATAGCAGGTGTTCTTGGAATTGATGCTACACTACTTTTGGAAGAGACCGAAGGCAACACAGCAGAGGTCGACGATGATGAGCCTTTCATACAGTGGTCAGATCTCTGCGAAAATTGTAAAGCAGAGCTAGAGTTGCAGAACCGCGCGCTGGCACAACGACGAATGGCCATAACTTTAAAGATTGTCGCCGAACTGCCCCGAGATATCATTTTCTTGAAGTCTCCTAAGCTTTCAATCGAGAACTTCACCTGGGCGCCTGAGACACTGATGTCAAGATCGTCTTACAGGGTCGGGATTGAGGCGCTGGCGGCGGATTGCACAGATGCTGGCTTGACTTCATATTGGTGGTTGCTCACTCAGCAGCTGGCAAGAAAAGCTGATAACAAAGAGGTCAAGTATGTGGGGTCTTTTGCTGATCGATGCGTTTATCGCATCTTCTTCCAAAATACATGGCCTACACCCCCAGAGGAATGGGAATATGAAGCTATTGTTCTGGACGGCAATATTTCTGACAATTTCCTGCCAGGTCAGAGCGTCAATGGATTGGCAGTCATGAAAGTCTTCCAAGCATCTGGGAGGACGACATATCGTCCTGTCGGGCCCGTTTTAGTTGAGAAATTGCATTTTGAGGAGGCTTTTCTCGACAAGCAGTCTATGATGTTTTCTCCGCCGCCTGAGGGTATCACTGTCGGAGATCTGTCCTGGGAGACCTTTACTCTTATCTAGATTAAGTATCAGGCGACAAAGGTAGCACTTCCGCTTTCGACTGTTTATTAAACTCTAGGATCTCATCTAGATAGATCTTTTCTGATTAGAAATTTATACAATAGGCATACCACCACCCCACTTAATTCTATAATTCATTTTCTTCTCTTCCCTGTATCTCTCCGCTTCTCAACTTCATCATTGCTACATTTGACCTACCTATCCACAAATCAGTAAGCCACCTCCAAATTCACTCAAAAGCAAGGACGAGTTGCGAATACATACAGAGCAGCAGTAATAAGGTTCTTTTCATGTTCATGCGGTGTCTGACTGGATATCAGCCCATATCGTCTTAGCACACAGATTCCCACTTTCGCAGTCAGAGGATTCGTCTCTCATACCTAATCGCCGAAGTTGTTCTTGTACGAAAAGACGCCAAGAACCAGTTCCGCCAGAATAACAGTCGTGGGTGCTAATACAGTCGATCCGATCCAAAAGCGACAAAAAAAAAAAAGTCTACCAAAATACTAATTGATATAAATCATATTAATCGGAACTATCGTATATCTTATAGTAATTATTTCCTTGGTCTCCGATTTTTAATACCTTTAATATTACAGAAGTTACAAAGCATGTGAGCATTTTTATACGAGCTCGCATAGAAATTTTGGCGTTTTGTAAGAGTAAAAAATCACATCTCGTATAGTATACGAGGCTGCACGTGATTAAAATCATAAACTTTTTATACTTTATATTCTCTTTAGTAGTAACTTTTAAAATTTAAGCTTTTACTAGATATACTAAGCTTATAGAAGCTTAAGGAGCCTCATAAGACCTTATAAGTCTAAGTTTAATTTATTATTTACTTAGGTACACGTGACTTTCGTGAAATATTTTGGCGTTTTGTATGGTCAGAAATCAAAAAAGTAAGAAACGTCCGTGCACTTCAAAACTCGATTACTAATAAACCACAAATCGCATTAAAAATCTGATTAATAGGTATTTTTCGTCTGGTTCTATTCTATAATCGCATCACTTAGTATTAATTACTCGGGGTTGTGGTTAAAAAGTTATTATGGATATAAAAGGGCGACCGTTTTGTCGCTTTTGGATCGGATCGACTGTACCACGATAGAGAATCCAAAGCCGGCGATGCCCAGGATCTCGAAGTCGACGTTGATGAAGCAAGGCCAAAGCGTGATGAGCCGGAGCCAGTCAAGGAGAGCAATGGCCTTTCATTGCAGTGGTGCATGGTGCCTACAGGGCAATACAAGTAGGCTGAAGCAACCGTTTGGCAGATCCACTCTAACGCCCAAGCGCTGTAACAATCGGCTTCGCCAGGCTTCTACAGGCTTCCTGTGGTGGGCCTGGGCCAGGTAGCCTTTAATTGGACGATATACGTCGAAAATCCAAAATTAGACCACGGGACACGGTATGATCTGATGTTATCCCGACTTTTGACGGCCATGTCCGTGCTTTGAATGGCCGAGCTGAGTGAGGGAGGCTGGGGCTCGGCCGAGTGCACTGCCCCGTGCAGATCGCCATTGCGCGCGGCAGAATACATAACCATAAATCACACGTGAATCGAACTAGGGAGGGTCAAATTTGAAGTTCCCCCAACGTACTCAACTCATCCTAATTTGGTTGCTTTCTTCACGCGCAATACTTTCACATCTAGCTTGGCTTGTTCTGCACTGCTGGGGCTCCTATACCCATCACCCGCCACAAGAAGTCGACGATCGGATCGTCACACGATCACTAATGGGGATGTTTGAAGACCGATCGAACCTTGACGTGACATCCGTGCTTATGCTCTTGGGCGAAGCTACGATTTGGAAAGTCGTTTGGTCTCGATTTCGCTCTCGTCGGACTCACTGGAAGCAATGGCTATTCCCCATATCGCCCGGTTGGACTCCACTCGCAGGATCGCTATTTGCTGCAATGAATCGGTCGGCCGGCCCACCGAATCTGATTTTCGATCGCCCCCCTGAAGGTGCCATAACGGACGGCTTGATCCTAACGAACCTCGATTCGGGGGCAAGTCATAATGCTTCAAATATCATCCTGCAAAACATTTGGCAGGTATGGAGCAAAGGTCCTCGCGAAGAGCGTCGTTTGCAATCCGTCGACGAAAAATACAGCGTCACACGAGAGGTTGGAGTGGTGGATGTCGATATCTCTGCACTACGTTTGCAAGATAGCTGGGAATTTTGGCTGCAATGCTTTTGCTTGATGGCACAGCTTACCATATCATTTGTGCTGGGCTTCTTTAACTGGACATTTGAGGTATTCGTAGCATTTATGATCGCCATAGTTGGACAAGGCCTTCTTTTAGCATCGATAACCCCACGATACGAGGCTTGGAACCATAGGCTTTATAATATTCACTACCCAAGCCCTATGGTCTTGCATCGGGGATATGATAGCATGGAGGTACTTATCATCCGAGAAGCAAAGTTAGACGGCACAGCTATTAGCTTGGAAGAGTTCTGTTGGGATAGTCAAGCTCTACGAGACACAACGGACTTGCTAAGACTATTTACTTCTGGGTTATCGTTTATTGTCTTGGCTTTTCAGATCGTTATAATCGGATGGATGAATATTCGAAGTCGGCAGTTGTATTTTGCTCTTGGTGGTTTTGGCCTTATCACAAATGCCATCGAAGCTGCGTCTCAACCGCGGTGGTTAGCCAATTCCAAAGAGGCCATTTCTGGGGTACCCACTTGTGCTCAACCAAAGAGCTCCCTTATGGGTGCGGTAGGAGTCCTTCTGGCAGGAGACTACGCTGCAGCTCATGTAGTAGCAAAAATGTTATACCCGGATAATAATCGATTTCGAAGAACCCGCGAAGATATTACCAAAACCCTCAAGCATTGTCTCTGCGCCAACTGCCAGATGTTGTTCAATAAGGGTTTCGTGGATGATCTGCCTTGTTTGCGCAAAAGGGAAGGAGAGTCCACTGGTTCTTGCTCCGAAGCTTTGCTGTCGAAAATCTCGGAGCTAGAAGAAAAGCAATTGAAGGATGCACTGGCCGCCGTCTACCATTATCTTCACTCAACGCGGAAAGAGAGAATCCCGCTGTCCAGTTAGAGACGGCTTGAACCTAAGATTAGTCACAGATGGTAGATCTTCATTTATTCAAATGATGTCTATGATTATATTGTATTAGGAAATATAACTTCTTGTACCTCTACTGCCACACTTCGCTTAATGCATCGCTCTACTGTCCTTACTTTGCTTGCTTTCCTTTCACCATATCATGATCTGATACCCTAGGCCTACCTCAACCCAAAGGGCATTTAATTATGACCGAATCCTTTCCATAACCTTTCTCATAAGATATTGCTCGTTGAGCTGCTAAATACATGTGCTAGAGTCCGGCTACATGAAAACACAAGAAGCACAAAGCCCCGTTAAGCAAGCTCGCCTCTCATTACATGTTAGGTTTTCAAGTAAAAAGAAACTCTCTCTCCTGCCACTCACCAGCGACAATTTTTAATACGAGCGAATTGTCTCGCCCAGCTCCTGTCAAGAGCTGAATGTCCCATCCGCTAGTAAAATCGTATTGGAGTTCGTTACCGACCGCTGAGTCAATGAATCCAACACCGACGCGTGCTTTGACTGAGCTATTTCGCCCAAGATTCAACTGTGGGCTTTCATTCTTGAAATAGCGCACAAATATTATGTTAAAAGTACTTGGGCTGGTTGGACTGGAGGCTAATCGCGACAACTCATATAAGTCCTCTTCTACCTGGATAAGAATTGCGAAGTCGCTGAAAGTACACACCCCGTCTAATAACAGTGCCGTGATGGTTACACGCAATCCATCGCCCGAACAGTTGGCTAAAACATCATCATAGTGTAACCACTCATCTTTACCATAGCTTATCCAGGTACTCGGTGCCCATCTGAATGGTGATATATCCATTTTGGGTCTCCGATCAAGAACGATAGTCCGTGGTACTTCCTCCAGAGAGATATAGAATTTCTTCCACCTTTCTTCAACAGTGAGCGTCATGAGATGGTCGATATTAACATCAAGCATTAATCCAAGTACCAAAAGCTGATCGTCTGGTCGGCTTGTCAGGCACCGCGTCAGCACATTGAATGTGTCGACAATTTTGCGAGATTTGGAGCGGCTATGATGGTAACGGTCCAAAGGTCTTGTCTTTTGGAGAGCAGCCTAAAGATCTCGTGTGAAGACGGCTGGGAATGGGTTGCTTGAGTAATTATAATAGAGCTTGTAGAGTCGTTGAATAAGCTCTTGTAGATCACAGCAGCCGTCGCTAAGCTCGAGGTCAACCCACGGTGGGAGGAACCCTTCTTGATAAGTCCAGAGTCGCCCCATCCAACCCGATGCAAACAGAGTCCACCCAATTTGTATGACAGAGGATGACTCTGAAATCTGGTGAAGGCTGCTGTCCAAGACAATCACTCCAGTTGCATTGCGATACGTAGTTTTCATCTGCTGAATTGCCTTTCCGCGATAGGGTTCGCGCCTTGGTACACAAAGTCCATCAATCCAAAACCAGGATCCGTAAGTAAGTTTGTTCTGTACAAGCCGGTGGAGTCTTTTTACTTGACAGGCTCGAAGTCCTTTCTCGGTGCAACTCCCTAAACCATCAGCCCATACATGCGAAAATGCAATGTAGTCTGCCTTCGTATCACTAGGAGCAACAGCGCCCAGCTCAAACCTTGCCTCTTCGCTGCAAAACTGAACGACAGGTATCAAGTCTGCGTCGAGTATTTCGAACACTTCTTTACTGTTCGGCTTTATGAAGGAGCATCTGCATTTGGGTTCCCAGTAAAGTTGAGCGTAGGTGTCCAGATCAATCTGATTACGCCTGCACGCTTCTGAGGTGCACTTTCCATGCCCTCCGTTGGTCTGGGCATAACCAGCAGCATTGATATATCGGAGGAAAGACGGTGGCATCGTCATCTCAGCACTAGCAACCACAAATGGGCACCACCCTTTCTGGATTAGTCTCTCCAAATGCCCTCGAGGAAACGGGCGGTCGACGGCGCCGAAAGATCGTATTTCCGTCTGAAACTGAAAATCTATCAGAGCCAGGACGGCTTCGTGGAGAGCAGAGAGTGCTGGCTCTACAGAGCGCAGTATCTGCCGAAACTCGAGATACATTGGACTAGTTGTATTCTCTTCGGAGTCGAAGAGCAGGTCAGACAAAATGCTGTTGGCTCGTATTGTACAAGCTTGTGCTTGTCGGAGTTTAGAACCTCTAGCCTCATCATCCAGTAAGGATAGCTGTCTTTTCCAAGCCTCTAGGAGAGACGGGAGATTGCGAGTGTATATCCACTCAATGTGGTCTTCGCACAGTCTGACCAGGTATGAGACTGAGATAGGTCTTTCAGAAATAGCCTCCAGCAATCCAAAGAACAGCCATGACTGAACAAAAGCTGCTATCTGGCGGATCACATCTGTATCTTCCAGATCTTTGAGTGATGGGTGCATGTAGCGAAGGTCCTGAGATTTGATGGGACTCTCAACATCCCATTCGGTGCCACACAGATTCAGAAATACCACTGTCATTGGTTGGGGATCGTAATCGATGTCATGGAGATATGACGAGTATTCATGATCATGGCCAAGCCATCGTATTCGTGGGTAGACTGGAGGGCAGGTTCCATATGCACGGTCTATTGAAGACCAGTCCTGCACCTCAAGGGACTTTGTAGCCTCGCGGATTTCGGCGCGGAATGTTCTTGCCGGAAGGTTATGTGTCAAATGCTCCATGGGACAAATCTAATCGTTATTACTTTTGGCAAAAGCGGATGACCGCGAACTTGCAAAGTTGGAGTGCAGTTGTTCGCCGATACCGTACCGTCTTTTTTGATCGTGTCAATCACAGGCTGTCAATGGGCGGTGTTGGAGGTCAGTGAGGGATGACGTCAAACAGGTAGCTGACGCGAACGTGAACGAGGCGCTTTTCAGCACTGCAATACTTGGCACTCACCAGAGCACGTGATGCTAAATTTATAATGCAGATTACGTGACCACCGGTACAGGATTCCACAATAGACTCACATTCGCGTCACTTTTGTTGAAATTAGGGGCCTGAGGCCCCTAATATGCTTAGTAAGCCCTGGAACGGAACGCCATGGGGCTGTGCACTATGGGGCTTAGTCCCTGTACAGCTGGAATGCCCTGTGTAGCTGGAATCGGTTCAGCTGGCATAGGGTAATTAGTGCATGTGATTTAGGGCGTTCAGGGCTATATATATGGGCTACTTACCACTGTAGAACAACAGTCAATTCAGTATCGTTTACTTGGTTTACATTGCAAGCACGTGACCCTAGCTTTATTATTAAGCTAGTTCAACAATTTTCACGTGATATTTGCATCATTCAATACTCTCCCCCCCTCCCTAAATAAAATGTAGCGTGACAAGGCTGGCACGGCCGTTCTAACGTATCCCTTCGTCCGCTGAGACGTTGCCAGGCGCTAGCAAGGGGGCTCAGGGCGAAAAGGGATAGATGACTAATAAGTTTATAAGTAAAAGTATGCCTGCACAGTCTGAGCTAGGCGCCCTTGCTAGCGCCTGGCAATGTCTTAGCGGACGAAGGGATACCATACCCTGGCCGCGCTACGTTTTATTTAGGGGGGGAGGGGAGGGGAGGGGGGAGTACTGTACCGATCAGGGTTATTAGCATCCTAGCTTCACAGCCACCATGTTACAGTCATGGTTTCGATGCAACCAGATACAATCACTGGAAGTTGGCCCCACCAACAAACCCTACACCGATTAGCGGGCTTGGTGTGCCAAGATTAGGCAGCGAAGCACGGTGAGAGCAAATGCCCATACACATTAGGCGAACAGCAGTGATGCTTCAAAGTGAGCCACCTCTGCAGCCACAACGCAAGGCAGAGCAGAAGGCTGAGAGAAGATGCGGCTGATGAAAGAGAGTAAGACGGATATATGTTACCCAGTTATTTCAGTACTAGCTATATCTTCTCCATTCTACATCCTCCTGACTCCCTCTCCAGTAGCCCCACGACTGATTTTTCGGCCTGATTTCCGAAGACTGTTGTATTACTTCGTTTTAAATGATGCGGGTTCTCATGCAGACTGGGCGACGACTTCTCTATATCCTATGTTTCATTGCAGCTTTCAGTTGCACGGTCTCGGCGTTACCAATTCCAGAAATGAAGCAAAGCATACATTTAGACTTGCATCTATTCCGAAATAGATCTCAAGTTGACGTCGTAACGGTCTTGATGCTATTAGGAGAAGCTACTGTGTGGAAAGCCATTTGGGGACGCTTTAGGTCTCGCCGCACCCACTGGAAGCAATGGATCTTCGCTATCTCTCCCGGGTGGACTCCTTTAGCTGCTTCTCTGTTTGCTGTAATGTATGGATCAATAGGACCCGTGAATCTTGTGTACGACCGTCCTCCTGAAGCCTGTATTGATGGTGGTCTTATCTTAACAAACCTTAATTCTGGAGCAAGCCACTCTGCGACTAATACAATGTTGCAGAATATCTGGCATACATGGAATAAGGGTGCAAGAATCCAGCAAAACCCACGCAAGAAAGATTATTTGTTTGATTTAACGAGGGAGGTTGGACTGGCAGATATTAACCTCGACCTTCTATATCTCGAGAATCCTCGGTTCTTCTGGCTCCAGTCTTTGTGTCTCGCAACACAAATAATTGGATCGTTCGCACTAGGATTCTTTGGACGGTCTTTCGAAACCTTCATTGTTATGCTGGCAGCCCTACTATCGCAGACCTTATTGGTGCTAGCAATCATACCACGAGAGAAAGCTTGGTTCAAGACGACAAGAGGTCACCGGCCTTGCCCAGTTATGTTTCATAGAGGGCTAGACAGCACGGCAGTCCTGATTATTCGTACTGCCATCGTTCGAGGAAGAGAAGTAAGCCTCGAAGAGTATTGTTGGGATAATCAAGCCTCGAGGGATTACATCGACGAATTAAAGCCACTCGCCGCCGGATTTTCTTTTTTAATCTGGATTCTTCATATTATCCTTGTAGGATGGATGCGTAACGACAGTCGTTACCTCTATCTTTCGTTCGGTGGACTTGGACTCTGTACGACCGCTATTGAGGCCACTACAGAACCGAGGTGGTCTCGAGCTTTTCAATCGGCATTCACCCGACACACTCTCTGCGCACCTCTCCGCAGCTCTCTCATGTCCTCTGTGGCTATATTAATAGCGGGGCGGTTCCCTAGTGCACGGGATGCTGCCAAGTTACTTTACCCTGATAATTCTCGATTCCAACAAAGCCTACAGGAATTTGATAGCCATTTCGACCAAGTTCTTTGTACCAACTGCCGAGACACCATCAAATGCTCAAAAACAATCCAAGTCCAGCGTTGCCTTCGGATAGAAGATACAAATGAAAGAGACCAATGCCAAGCTCTACTGGCTTCTCGAATTCAAACAGTTCACTCCAAACAGATTGCAGATGGTCTAGCGGCGGTACACAATTATTTGCGAACCCCGGGTTCTGAACAAACGGAAACACCTGCCATTGAGACACATGAAACATTTCAGGACGGACCCAGACACTCTTGGGATCCACGTGTTTAAGCGATATTAAGCTATACTATATAGGAGAGGCCCCTTAGGATAAATAGTTGCAAGGGAATTTGGCGTGATTTGAGATTATATATAATATATTAGCTAGATGATTAGGTGAGCTTTAATAGTCTTTATAGATTATTTTTAATATAGTAATATAGAGAATTCTCAACTAGTTTACTATAGCCAGTTTTCTCGGCATTAAGACATGGCCCGTAATAAAGTAAACTAATATCTAAGATACTAGAGAAGTATAACTTTTATATTATAATTAAAATATTTTCTTTTAAGAATATTTATATTAAAGTATATAATAATATTAAGTTTACTTTATCTTAATTATCTTATAAAAAAAAGTCACTCTAAATAATTATTTATTTATAGCAGGTTTATAACTTCTATTATATTACTCTTATTAAATTTCGAGTATTATAACTTTCTAAATACTAAAATAAAAGTCTCTTTATAACTAGTAAATATAGTATAAGCAGGGTCGAATAAGAAGCTATAGCTATTAAATAGAGGATATTATATTACCTGAAAATTATAAAGAATAAGCAGAACCTTATACGAATCTTATACTTTTTTATAAAACTAGAATATTAGATCTTATCTAGAAATTACTTGAAAATATAAAATAAAAGTAATATAGTCTTATAATAGCTAGTATAATAGTATAATTTACTAAAGACAAAATATTAGAAATAGGTATAAAATAAAGCTAAGCTAAAATACTTAAATAAGATAATACTAAAAGATTAAGGCATTTCTTTTTTCTTTATTTCCTAGCTTATTATTTTTAATATATGAGATTCTTTAAACTTTAAGCCTTTAATTATTATATTAATTCTACTATTATATAATATTAATATATTAAATAAATAAAATAAAATGAAATAATAGCTATTATTCTTATTTTATTTATATATTATTCGAGTTATTTATAAATAACTTAAAGCCTATTTTATATTAAGAAATCTATTTCCTTTTTAATATAATTATAGCTATTCTTAAAGTATATATCGAGGCTTAATTAGTATATTATATATTTTTACCTTTATATAAAAAGAACTTTTCTTATATAGAACCTATTCTCTAATTATAATACTATTTCTTTATCGAGAATTAGTTACTTCCTTTAAAAAACTAATATAATTAGTAATTCTTACTATTATTCTATTTTTTATTATTAAATATTATCTAAATAATTAAGAAAATACTCTCGATTCTTATATTCTTATTACTAATTCGAAATACTTGATTTTCTTATATATTATATTAATTTCTATATTAATTATTCTAAACTTAATAATAATATAATAAATCTTATTTATATTATTTTATAGCTTTTTTTTATAGCCTTAGAATCTTTTAATATTATTTTCTTTAATATAAATATTACCTTAAAGTTTTAACTAATTAAGTAATATTCTATTATATAAAATTAATTTTAATAAATATTAAATATATTATAATTAGCTTTCGAGAAAGATATAAATTAGTTTTAAAAAAATAATACCTTATTTTAAGTTATTTCTTAATTCTATTATTCTAACTTCTTTTTTATTAATTCTTATTTTATGTTTTCTAATTACCTTTAATATATTTTATTTTTTATATATTTCCTATATTATTTTTCTTTCTTTATATTATTTTTTAAATTAATAAAAATATATTTATATTATAAAATTTATATTATTTTCTTTTATATTCTAATACTTTAAATATTACTATTATTATATTTATATTTCTATTATATTACTTTCTTATTTTCTTATTATTATTATTTAGTTTAATTTACCTTAATTATTTTCCAAATTATATTCTTTTAAATATATATATTAGTATTATTTTCTATAATAAAAACTTAATTTTATATTTTACTTTTTATAATTAGTTCTAATTTGTAATTATATTACCTTAAATATATTTAATTATTATATTTGCTTTCTTTATTATATATATTACTATTTTAGTTTTATTTCCTTATTAAAAAAAAGAAAACTCGAATATATATAATACTTTTATATAATTCAAGTTTATTTTAATTTATTCTTTATTTTAGAAAATATTTAAAAGAAATTCTTATAATCTCAAGAACCTTTAATTTTATAACTTATAACTATTATACTAATAATACTTATATAATTCCTTTAAGAATAATAAAATAGCTAAAGAATAAATTTCTCAAACTAGTAAAATATAATAGCTAGTTCTTATAAGCTATAATATTACTAAAAGCCTATAAATTAATAGTATTAAAGTTTAGAATATTAAGAGAGTTTAGGCAATTATAAAAGACCTATTAATATTAGAAAAGATAATTATAATTACTGAATTTAATATAAATATTCTTAATAATCTAAATAGTATATATAATAAGTTCTTGAAATAGAAAACTTTTATTAAAAACGAAATTTGACTAGAATTAATTAAGGAAGAACTAAAGAACTATTAAGCTAATAATAAAGAATTCGAGAATATTATTAAAAGTATTACTAAAGATAAATAAAAGAAGCTTAATAAAATTAAAACTATAGTAAATAGTCTGGAAATTAAGAATTAAAATAAAATTATATTCTATAATAAAGCTTTTAGTTAATATATTAATAATATCTATAATAACTTAAATAAGAATATTTATAAAAAATTATACTTTCTTTTTAAAATAAAAGCTTTAGTATATAAGGCTATTTAATTAATTAATAAGGCTATTTTGAAATATATTAAAGATAAGAAATATTTAAATACTAGTATATTTACTAAATCAGATATTATTAAAGTATTTAAGTATAATAAAACTATTTCGGAACCTAGAGAATTAGTTTTTAAGCTACTATTAGCTAATAATTTCAAGGCTAGATAATATACTTTTAATACTTTCGGAATTCTTATTAAAGAATATTATAATAATAAATCTTTCTCTGGCTTCTATAATAAGTCTAGAAAATAGGCTTTTATTATAATTTTAGTAATAACTTAATTAAATCTAATTAATAAGACTAGAGCTAATCTAATAAAGTTTATTTCTAGTATTACTAGTAAAACTAATAGAACTAATATAATTAATTAAGAATTTAGTAAAAAAGGAAAATAAGCTAAATCTAAAACTTCTAATAAATAATATAGATCTAAATACTAGTCTAAATACAAGATTAGTAATATATTAGGAAATAAAGTAAAGAAAAACGAAAAAGAAATATTAACTAGAAAGACTTTAAGAAATATATTATAATATAGCAGGCTATATTCTCTAAAAATTATATTATTTTAATAGTTTTAAGGTTTTAGTTATATAATAAAGCTAGTTTTTCTATAGTTCTAGAAAATAATTCCTTCTAAGTATTTAATTAATTAAGCTTTTATATACTATATACTATTTATATTTTATTATTTATATTTTTAATTTATTATTTTACTATTAAGTTACGTTTTATACTCTAGTATATTTTATATGAATTTTTGTCTTATTATAGTTTCTTTTTTATATATTTTATAAAAAGTAATATAAGAAAGATTAAAATTTTATAGTTAAGGTAATACTTTTATAAAGCGAATTATTAGTTTAGTAAGTTAGAAAAGAAAAGAGCTATTGTAATAGGGATATAAAACACGGAGTAATATAGACAGTAGAATGGGCTTCTATAGCATGGGATCACAGCATACGAGTGAGACGTGGAATTAGAGAGTAAAGGTTAGTTGTTTTTCTAAGAACTAAGAAGGAGAGAGGGGTAATATAAGCGGACTGCAGACTATACGGAAGTCCGGAGGTCATATAATAGAACCACGTGACCAGGGGATAAAATCCCCACCATATACTTCCCCCACCTACAAGTACTCATTCCCTGAGTATATCCCCAAAAGCAAGAGCCAAAAGCCACCTATAGAGTAATATAATAATCGAAAACCCGCCGTACGCTCTGCCTTATATATGCCCCGACTTCAAACCACTATGTTTCCAACCCAATTCGTCGCTCAAAGCACTAGTAAATACTCCATTTTTCGTACCGAAAATCGTACGAATCGTGCCTATAGTATACGTAAACTCTCTCTTTAATACTAAGTATACCCAAGGTACAAGGAAATACTTTCTTTAATACTAAACGTACCCAAAGTACAAGGAAATACTCTCTTTGATACTAAATCATACCCGAAGCACAAGGAAACACTCTCTCTGCCGCATCGTACGAATCGTACCGGAGTACTAGTAAACTCTCTTTAATACTAAACGTACCCAAAGTACAAGGAAATACTCTCTCTGATACTAAGCATACCCGAAGTATAAGGAAATACTCTCTTTAATACTAAGCGTACCCAAAATACAAGGAAATACTCTCTCTGCCGTATCGTACGAATCGCACTAAAGTACTAGTAAATACACTCTCTCTTTGACGCTAAATCGTACCCAAAGTACAAGGAAACTCTCTCTTTGACGCTAAACGTACCCAGAGACAAGGAAATACTCTCTCTTTTGATACTAAACGTGCCCAAAGCACAAGGAAATACTCTCTCTGCCGCATCGTATGAATCGTACCAGAGCACTAGTAGACGCTCTTTGATACTAAACGTGCCCAAAGTACAAGGAAATACTCTCTCTGCCGTATCGTAGAAATCGGGCCCATAGCACCACTCAAAGCGCCTACTAAAAGCACCTACTGAGGCACCTAAAATCGTACGAAATATATATGCCAGTACCTCTGCTATTACTGCCGTAATACAGGCATTACTGGTCTTGAAGGAGGTAGGGGGAGGTTCGAAAATCGGAAGAGGGAACCGTAAATCGAAAGAGGGAACCGTAAATCGAAGGAGGGGACCGTAAAGTAAAGTGTGTGCCAGGAACCTCTGTAACTGCCATAGTAACCACAGGAATCACTGGACTTGGAATCGAATAAGAGGGAGTAAAGGAGTGTCGGGAACTGCCGAAATCGTACATAAAAGGGGAGAGAATCGGAAGCCGAAAGTATAAAGGGGAATCGAATAAAAGGGGGGTTCATAAATCGGAGAAGGGAACCGTAAATCGAAGAGGGAAGCGTAAAGTGAAGTGTGTGCCCGGAACCTCTATAACTACTATAGTAACTACAGAAATTACTGGACTTGGAATCGAATAAGGAGGCGGTAAAGGAGTATCGGGAATCGCCGAAATCGTACG